TCAGGCACAGCTAGTATATAGTATTGTTTTGAATTTCTTTTTCAATATTAGCTAGATGTGTTTATGTAGGCAGGCTAACATTTAACTTGTTACACATGTACATAAGAGATGTTGTTTCTTTCACGATGTATATCATGTTATATACAATATCAAATAAAAGAAATAATGCTTACCTATAAGGGGAAACCCCCCAAAAAATAATAATAATAATAATAAATTTTATAATAATATAATGTTTTAAAAATAAAAAATAAAAATTATTATTATTATATTGTTATTATTGCATATTAAGTTTTTAATTTTATTTTATTAATAATTTATTATATTATAAATAAATACATACTCTAGTTTTTATTTAAATAAAAACTTTTCTACAATTTGATATTATTTTAAATAAAAGTTATAAAAACCTTTTTTACTAAAGAAATTTAAATAATATAAATTAAACTTATAATTTGTACTTAAGTAAATATCAATAAAGGATATTATTTATAATATTTAAAAAATTGTAATTATTATATAATTCTTAAATATAAAAAAAGAAACCGTTACATCCAATATAATGAGAAATTGGATTTAACGTTAAGAGCCCATAATCCACGTGCTTTTCCTATTAAGACAGTCACTCTAGCGTCTGTGTTTGCGTAAGCAGCGTATTCTTTTGCATACTCGCATATATTTGTGTATGATATTAAACGTATAGTTTATGTCTTATCACATGCCTATCTCCTCCTGTGTGTATTTATGGTAAATTTAGGAATATACTTCAACAGTATTGTTCTTACCGACAAGTAGTCCCTTGTGGTTCACAACTTGTCATCTTAAACTGACGATTATTGATGGCCTCAGGCAATAACAGTATTAACCCCTATCCACATGCCAACGGCGTTCATAAAGAGAACGGTCATGATTCAACCGGGCAGCGTTCTCAACCACCTTCTCCAACAACCACAAGACCTCCCCAATTAGAAAGTCAATCCCCCAAAATTTCCCAAACGCCTTCCATTCGAAAAAAAGGTGTTAAGGACTTTGATTTCGGTAGGACACTTGGCGAGGGTTCTTACTCCACGGTAAACATAGATTCATTTTCCAACTACCTCCGAATGAACATTAGGTCGAGGCAGAAAATTTAATATCTTCCACCTTCATAGGTCGTGTCTGCAAGGGACCGTACTACGGGACGTGAATATGCCATAAAAATTCTTGACAAAAAACACATTATTAAAGAGAAAAAAGTCAAATATGTTAACATAGAGAAGAATACACTTAATAAGATGAATCATCCAGGGATCGTGCGCTTGCATTATACTTTTCAGGATAATAATAGTTTATGTATCCTTTTATCGGCTTATATAACGATCGTAATTATTTCGATAGGAAAAGAGAATCAGGATGCGAACAGTAAACAATTTGATCACAAGGCATTATTCCATCTTAACACACACGTTTTCGCTAATAGATTTTGTTTTGGATCACGCTAAAAATGGTGAACTTCTTACATTCATAAAGAAAGTGAGTGAGTCTAATATGACGTTTACGGCCTTCTAACCTAATTTCAAAATTAACTCGAATACGTTCACTTTATTAGCTCGGTTCTTTTGATCTCAATTGCACACGATTTTATGCTGCCCAAATTCTGTCAGCCATAGTGTATATGCACTCTCAGGGGGTGATTCACAGGTACTTTCTATAAAGTTTACTGATGCATAATTTTGCATACTTATCTGATTGGTTCTTCTTTGTGTTATTTAGAGATTTGAAACCGGAAAAGTAAATACCATTCTGATGTGTCAACCGCCGACTTATTGTAAAGAAATTACATGTACATATTTATTTATTTATATTATTTAGCATATTATTAGATTCTAAATTGCATGTCAAGGTTACCGATTTCGGTACTGCAAAAATACTGGAGTCTAATGCTGACGGTGAAGAAGGTTGGAATGTATTTCCTATAATTGTAATTATTATAACAATGTATCTAATATTAGCATATTAAAAATGTATGCTATAGATGATCGTGCGAATTCATTTGTTGGTACTGCGGAATACGTAAGTCCTGAATTACTGAAAGAAAAGGCGGCCTGCAAAAGGTACGTGTTTACGTTAAAGCGTTATATTTATTCCATTGTTTTATGACTTGTTGATTTCATGTACATTTCAGTTCGGATTTTTGGGCATTGGGCTGTATCATCTATCAATTAATAGCGGGACGCCCACCGTTCAAAGGAAGCAATGAATACATGACTTTTCAAAAAATTGTCAATCTAGAATACACATTTCCCGAAGGATTTCCGCCTACTGCAAAAGATTTAGTCCAGAAATTACTAGTAGGATGAAAATTCTCGAATTCTTTATTTTTTTTTGAGACGCTTATATCAAATTTAATTTTCATATTTAATGAAGGTTTTGAATCCATCCGAACGACTGGGAGCAGGCGGTAGAGCTGGTATTACTAGATTGAAGAGTCATCCTTTCTTTGAAGGAATAGAATGGGATAAAATATGGGAATTACCAGCACCGGATCTATTACCTTATCTACCCCCAACTCCCCAACACAATAAGGAAGAGCTTCGTACAACCGCAACTACATATTTGCGTGAGATATCTGATCACGTTGGAGAGAATGGCAACAGTCCAATCGCTACTGGTCTTAAACAAAGTGATCTATTTGAATTAGATGGTCGGACAAGTAGCGAAGATCCTGATAAGATGGATCCGGAAAAAGTCAAAAAGTTAGAAGAACAAAAAAAAACATCCGCACAATGGTAAATTTATAGAATATTTAAGAAACGTTGATAGTCCCTTTTTTTTTTATTATGAATTCAATATCAACGTTTTCTTTGAATTATCATCAGGGTCTCGTTTCTACATAAATCCGAACTTATTATTCGTTCGGGTACAATCAATAAACGAAAGGGCTTTTTCACCAAAAAGCGCCTACTAATCTTGACAGATCTTCCTAGGTTAATATACGTCGATCAAGAAAAGATGACACAAAAAGGAGAAATATACTGGAGTTCGCGAATGGTGGTAGAATTGAAGAACAAAAAAACTTTTTTCATCCACACGGTATATATTTTTATTTGATTTAATGATTTATAGAAAGGATTACTATTATTGCTCATTTATTCGAAAACTTTGGGTCTTGAATTATTATAGAAAAACGTAATAATATTAATTCGTTAATATCGATTCCTAATTTACGTTAAATTTTTACTTATTACCAACAAATTTGGTACATCCCTCATGTAGCCACGGAAAACTTACTACTTCGACGACCCAAATGCTACAGCGAGCGAGTGGGTGAACAAAATAAATGAACTTCTAGCGGCAAACTACGGAGAGACGCTCTGAGATGTGAGATATTCATCCGATACACGGAAAGAGCACTTGCTGAACTGATGGATTCATTTATCATTTCCTTATATTATTAGTTATTGATATCCATTATGGTGTGTGATAACAGCTCGTTGTTAACTCATACGAGCGTTGAATAGATTGTATTAAATATGCATCGAAAAGTTATATTATGAGAATACAAGTAAAATTAGACCTAGATTCTGAAAAATTTTACTTGCTACCTTACTCACTCATTCACATGTTATCTAACATTATGTATCCTTAAAATTTGGCATTTAATGGCATTTTTTTCTTTTTAAACAACACATAAACAAACATCAAATAAACAATACATCATGCATTTTTTTTTTAAAACAATATCAAATAATATTGTTATTTTTTTCTTACTTGTTTCATCAGACATTCTACCAACACATTTCTTTTTTCACCATTAACAATAAAATGATAATAATGCAATTGATTTTCTTTGTCTGTTTAGGGAGTCTATCAAATAAACCGCTACTTCTTTATCAGTATCACCCATGAAACACGTACGCTCATTTTTCTTTAATAAAAAACTAAATTCTTCGTTTCGGGAATTGCAAGGATAATTAATGTATTAAAAAAAGATTTTCGCTTTACTCGTGAAACACGGGTTTCGAAATATTTTTTTATTCAATGGATCAAATATTAAGCTTAGTACGACGCCAGTGACGACGTTTAGCGTTGTATCTATAGTAAATAATGAGTTATGATTAAATTAGAAACCTCTGTTGAATTTCTTGAAATGTAGAAACTTTAAGTACAGTTTCTCAAGCGAGTTGGATAGATTTCTCATGCATTCTATGATTAAATAGATCTTAATCGTGGAAGACAAAGAGACTTACCGAATCGTATTTCCCGTACGAAGACGAATCCATTGAGGAATAGGACGATTTTGTTTTTGCTTTTTACCAAGAACACGCTTGATCTTAAAGGTTTTATTGGAAGGCTATTTGAAATATGTTTTAAATGGACTTTTTTAAGAAAATCTTTTATCTACTTGTTATGAAATGAACAACGATGATACTTGCCATGGCGAAACAAGTTTTCTTGTCAATTCACCAAAAAAATCGGAAAGAATATTTTTTGATGAAGATGATCTTTTATATAACGATGAGTGTATGCACGTGATCAATTAAAATTTATAAATTAAATTTAATATTAATATTTATTTGTAAAAAATATTTTTTTAAAACTTTTGAATGTGAATAAGAAAATTCTATTGTTTACGTAATTAAATTAATTATTCTGCTTAAAAATTTTTTATTATAAGGAATTACTTTTTGATAATATTACAAATGTTAAGGTTAACAAATATAAAAATAAGAAAGTTTAATTAATAACTGTTTTTATTTTTAAAAAAAATTTTTTTCTTATTTTAAAATTAAATATAAAATATAATTAGAGTTCCTAACAGTATTATTTTAGCATCAAGTTGATACTATTTTAATACTATTTAATTAATTTTTAACTATTCAATTTTTGTTTAATTCAATTTCAAAAATATTAAAATAAATAAATAATATTGTAAAAATAATTTCAAACTTAATAATATATTATAAAAATTTTTATCAATATATTTGTGAGTTCTTTAATAGAAGTTTTTTCTTAAAAAAAAATTTTTTTTTCCTAAAAAGGTAATTTTTAAAAAATGTGTAATGAATAGAAAAGAATTTTTTTTTATTTTTAATAAAAAATTTTTTTATATACTAGTATAATTATCTGGTTGGAAGTTGTACTTAAAAATAATGTTTATATTTATTGAAGACAATGCTTTAACATATTAGTTAATAGTTACATTCAATTCTTATTGGGATTACTTTAGATAATGACATTTATTTTAATTTATATGAAGTATAGAGATTAATTTATTGAACAAAGAAATTGCTTTGTTTAATTAGTAGCATATATGTTTACTAGTAGCTAAGCTTTATTTTTATTGAAAAAAAATTAAAAAGATATAAAAAGATATACTGGAGATAATATTTTATAGTAAATAAAGCTATTTCTTAAATTGTAAAACATTTTTTTTATAACATTTAAATTTTTTAACTAAAAAGTTACTTTTCATTTATTTTTTTAAATAATTAAAATATTTTTCTAAAAATTTATATAATA